GCCTGAAATCTCTGACTTGCACAGATTTTAAGTCACTGAGATTTGGGGCAGGGTAGGGGAGCAGGGGGTGGTTGTTAGGCAGAAAAATCAAGTGTCTCTTGATTTATACCCAATGATTTTTTTTTCTCTCCTCCCAGACCTATTAGAGTTCTGGAAAATTTGTGCATTATCCAAGCCCTATTCTCACCAAAATTCAGAGAAGTGGGTAATTCATTTTTTCTCACACTTAGGATATTCAGCTGAAAAGTATGATGGAGTCCTTTCTTCCATCTGAGCAAAGGAGGGCTCTGTATTCTGTAGTGGAATAAAAATATCCTTCCACAGCATAGGATGAAAGCATGGTAATATTGAAACGAAAGCTCAGAAAAAAATGACACTTCAAAATAGTTCTAAGATAGGTTTTTAGGGCAGAATAGAATATTTTGTATCAAATCTGCACCTTCCCTTTCGTTTTTTGGCAACTCTGGTTTTGTTGGACAAGCTTTTTAAATCCTGTCTCTGAGCAGAAACTTTGCTTTATTCATAACACATGACGTAAAGACAGTATGAAAAAAGCCTGGCATCTCTAGGTCAATCCAGAAATATTTCTGAATCTTTCTAGCACTGCAATACCTCAAGAAAATGGTTAGGAGCCCAGTGCAATCAGAGTGACAGAGTTGGACTTTCATACACACACACACACACACACGTATCTATGGAGAGAGAAAGATCTCAAAAAACTTCTGAATTACATCATTAACTCCTTTCAATATAAATATTTGATGATACAAGATGCCTCACTAATAAGTCCTGGGTGGTACTAGCCTGGCAAGTTTTCAGCTCCTGGGGAAGACGACCTCTTGAGTCTTTTTTCCTGTGTACCTTCCCTGGGGCAATCTTCCTGTTAGTGTTTCCTATTTTAACAATGATGAAAAGTAAAGATGGCTGTGGTGAGCCTCTGCTGTCTTCTCAGCTCCAGTGTTGGGGCAGGTGCTTCTCAAAGCGGATAATCCAAACAATAGCATTGCTCTTTATTTGAAAAATATTCACTGAGTTACTGAAGAATTGTATGTATGGCATTGTGCTGAGAACTTTGGTGAATTGAACATGAACAAGACAGTTTGCAAAGCTGTGAGCAGAAATACTACATGGGCGAGGGGTGGGAAGGAGGAAGGACAGCCTGGGTCCAAATTCCCATTCCATCCTTCCCAGCAGGAAACCAAACCATCCTGTCTTGGTTCCTTACTAGGAAAGAAGGGATACAATAAGGATGCTTCACGAGACTGCTAGAAGGATCAGGAGTGGGTGTGTCTATATGTAGCAGCTCAGCATCAGGAGAGTTTGGTGTGCAGAAGCCATGCTTAGGCCTGTCCTGCACTGTCTTACGAGTTTCTTGGAGTCAAAAAAAAAAAAAAAAGTCTCAAGGAAGAAATCATTAAATCTTTGACATTTAGGATGAAGCTAATTCTTCTTTTTACCTTGTCCAATACTTTTGAATAACCCATTTTGGTACATAATGGTAGTTTTTCTTTCTTGGTGGACAATGAAATGGGAAAGAGATCACATGAACAGTTATAGAGAATAAATGGTAGCTTTCCCAAAGTAGGGAGGACAAAGTAATATTTTCCTCATCGATGGCAAGGTTCATGCTTGATGTCTATAAAAGTTTAGATATAAGGTATTCCCCAAAAGTCCATGTATGAGAATATTTAGAGGTGAAATGATTAGATTATGAGAGCTTTAACCTAAACAGAATATTAATCTACTGATATGGGTTAACTGGGGTAACTGTAGGCAGGTAGAGTGTTGCTAGAGGAAGTCAATCTCTGGGGGTATGTCTTTGAGGTTTATATTTTGTCCCTGGTGAGCAAAGCTCTCTTTCTCTGCTCCCTCGTTGCCATGTCCTCTTGCTGCTTTGCTCCTCTACACCATTCTGCTATGATGCTCACCTCAAGACCTTACCTCAAGGCCCAGATCTACAGAGACGGCTGACCAGGGACTGAACCTCTGAAGCTGTGAGCCAAATTAAACTTTTCTTCTTAAGTTGTTCTTGTTAGGTCTTTTGGTCACAGTGACAAAAAGCTAACACGGTGCCCCTATAACAAGACACAGGCTTACAAGAGAAAAGCATGTAAATTTATTAACCTTTTTCTTCTTTTGAACTAAAGGTTCAAAACTAAAGGTTCTATTCAGTGACTCAGAACTCAAGGAAGTAAGTTGTTTATAACTTAAACAACTTGGATGAAACAGATGTCCTCAAAAGAAAGACAAAAAGACGCAGTCCTTCCAAGATCCAGATCCACTCCCAAGGATGGCCATAAGACAGACACATATGCCCCTCAAGAACTGACAGCACCAAGCACATTAACCACAAATGGGGTATAATCTAATTTCTCTCTGGTCATATTCTTGGGACCCCCCCCCCCGCCCCACACACACACACACAGCCTGAAGTTAAGCAAGACTGATAAGCTGTGTGCCCTGATTGGTAGAAAGTTAAGGCAAGTTCTCATCACACAAAACAAGACTAGGAAAAAGATGGCTGTTCACAGAGGGAAAAAAATCAATAATGAATAGGTACCCTAAAACCAAATTTAGCCAGAGTCCCAGTCCAAGAAGTACTTTTCTCTGCTAATCTGAACTTGGAAAGGAGCAGACAAGAAGAACTTTTTACCTTCTTCTCTCTACCTAGAACTACAGAGATCCTAGAGAGCTCTTCTTAGTGAGAATTCTTATTTCACCAACTTTTTGTCAATTGTCCCAGGATCTCATCTGTAGGTTGCAGAGCAAGAGGGGTGGCTCAGCCACCCACATGGGGCACCAAGAAATGTAGGGAAGAAAAAGTGTTATTTTGTCTTTGTCCTTTGCAAGGATCATGGCTGAGGCCCCTACAACAAGAGATCAAAGAGAAAAGCTGACAAACTTATTTACTGTACATTTTTAATGACATGGGACCCTTCAGAAATGAAAACCTCAAGAAATAGGGAAGCCTGTGCATTTTTATGCTTTGATGAAGAGTGAACAGGCCTGCATAAGTATAACTAGAGGGGAAAGGTATATGATCTAATGGTAATAAACCGGGGGCAGGGGGTAGTACTTAGTGAGGCCCATTTGTTCATATTCTTCTCTGCCTCCCTGTGTCTTCAGAGATAAGGACATTCCTTTCCTCACGGTATAGGGAGGGCACATCTGGAAAGAAGGTTTTATGACCTGCTTCTGGGGAAAGACAGCTAGGTTTTATGACCTGCTTCAGGGGAGTGAGGAGAAGGGAGGGGGAAGGAGACAGTCACTGTCCTGTTCTGCTGTTTTCTCATGTTTTAGGGGTAGCGTGCCCTGAACCCTACCACCAACTTCTCAAATACTTCTTTATATTTGAAATTGGCCAGGTCAGCTTATAAGAATTCATGGAAAATGTGCATTTAATCAGTTGCAAAACTCAGCTTGGTTTTCACAAACATTCTACGGAAGATCACAAGTTCTCCAAATGTACTTTGCACAGAGGGAGATGCATGGCCTTGGCCTGGAACATTTCCTTCCTCATTTCTTGCAGGCTTACCCAAATCTCCTTCTGATGCCCAGCACGCCTGCTTGTTGCCCAGGAATACCTTCCCTGGTTCACTCCAGGCAGGTGAGATGCTCCTTCTTTGGCCCTTGCAATGGAGCTTGGACGTGCATCTATCATATCATTTTATTTTATTCTGCTTTATGTTATATTTATTGTTTTGGGGTCTTTTTGTAATACAGTTCTGGAGGACAAAGCATATATCCTATTGCTTTCAAGCTCTGCCTGAGCACTTGGTCTGTGTTTAACAAATATGAAGTTGTTACGAGACTTGGTCTTTGATCCATTCTTCATCACTCACTGTCTACTTGGTACACAGCTCTGTTGGGTGTTGACAGGAGACAGGAAATAGGGTATGACTTGATTTTAGCCCCTAAGGCACTTAAATTTCTCAAGGGGAGCAGGTAAAAATGGTTGTACAGAGGACAGGTTGGGTCACTAACGTCTTGGGTAAGAGCTTGAAAAAGGCTGGGAGTACTTAATGCCTGACTTTGAAGGGGCTGAAGCTCCCAGACCTTTATACTGATCCCAGCCTGATGTTTTGGTCAGAAGCCTCAGGGCAATAGGAATGGGTAGGCCCGTTATTCTCCTGGAAATGCCTAAATTATCCCATGGGTCACCAACTTATTTATTTGCTAATTGAGTGGCCCAGCTTTGGGCTTTAAATCTAAAGAAATCATTTCATCCTTTATTAAATACTGCATGAATCTCACTCTTTGTTCTGCAAGGCTATACACAATATACCAGTGAAACTTGAATTTACACTACAATAGTCATGCCACTAATGACCTTCCAAATGCCACTAATACCACACATGTTCTGCTTCTCGGTTGGGATCTGAACCTGTCAATGAATTCTGAGGCCATTGACCTCCCTCTAACATAAGAACAGACCCCCATGCCCATGCCCACCCCCAGCCTCCCCCATCATTCCATGATTTCATTTCTGAATCAGTTACTCTTTGGAGACCTTGATTCCTTTACACCTACTCTTTTTATTTGGTGGACAATACTTTATTCGGAAATGTTCCCTCCTGTAATTACAAATCTTGTTAGTCATCCTCCTTCTCTCCCCAGGGGAATTGTGGGCTTTAATTAATTAATGTGGCTAAACCGCTTTGAGGTGCCTGGTTGAAAGGTGCTATATAAGTGCAAATTATTATTATTATGTCTGTTGACATCCCATGGTGGCAAAGCCCTCAGCCCTACACATCTAGAGACCTGAACAAAGGCTTCTTCATCTTCACCTTCCCTGCTAGGTCTGAAATCGCTGGTTCAATGGTCTAGGAGCAAATCTGTTACCATCTCAACAGCAATCAACTAATTAATCCCTATTATGTTGGCTTCCGTTTCCTTCTTCCAAGCAGCATGGTCCTGTTTCATTTCACAAATCACACCCCCATCAGCTCTAGACAAAGGTCACAGTATCCCTATGGCCTGTTAGCCTGAAAGAAAAAAGAAATAGAGAGAACTTGAAAAAAAACAATGTTGTCATGAAATGCTCTAACTTCCCACCCTTCATGGAAATAAAACTTTCCTTATAGTAGCCGTCCCCTTCTCCTTCCCCACGGAACCACACCTGGCACACCAGATACCCAGAAACAGTACTGGTGGGATTAAGGTCCCGTGGCTCTAGCTTGACCTACAAAAGGGGGACTCTATCTGCACTGGGTGGGAAAAGGTCATCCAAAGATGTCGGGCCCCTCTTCAGCTTTCTCTACTACCCCCAAGTTTCCCCTGAGAAAGCCAGCTGCCATCTGTAGCCAGGAAGCCCTCACAAAGGCTGGGGACCATGATTTAGATGTTTTGTGCTACACCTAGCACACCACAGCCCTTAACAAATGCCTAGTGCTTCCACTATGATGGTAGCCATTGAAAACAGCCCTGTGGGGGAGACTTGGCCTCTTATAGGGACCAAAACACTCCTTACAAGGTCGTGCCTCAGACCCTTTGTTAGAGTGGATGTGGGCAAGCCTCAGGGGGTCATGTCTTCATCTGCCTTCATTTATCCTCCCTATTGAAGGGCTCCTTCAGGACATCGGTCAGTCTCTGTGGGAAATGATTTGGAGAGCAACAAAAGAACTTGGGCCCTTTGGGGGGCCTTCAGAATTCAGTAAACATCTGGACGGGGAAGGCCAGATTCTCAAGCAGTCTAGCTGGGGAGATGTCAAAAGAGAAAGAGCTGTGTGTGCAACGTAAGCTCTTAGTTCTGTGGCGACATTTGTTGTCCAGAAAGACACAGACACCCCAGTAGGTAGAAAGGAAGATTTTTCAAAAGCTTCTCTATTTGACGGTTTTTGTGACTGTGGCTCCTGTTTGTCAGTGCTCATGGCCTGTGTGAGGAAATGGAAGTTTTGCATGGTTAGCAAGCAGCATGTGATGTCTGTTCTGATTCTGTATGTGTATGAATAACCTAAGGTTGCATAAGCCTGTCCTGCTAGTTGTTGTTAAACATTTCTGTTATCTTTGAGGTTTTTAAAGGCAAGGTGACTTACTGGATTCTCAGGATGAGCACATTTTAACTGACAAAAAAAAAAAAAAAGCACTAAGAAGCTAAGTGATTTATACTTCACACAGTGAGATGTAGGACCTGAACTCTTGACTCTTAATGTTCCCTTTATTGTTGAGTCAATCCATTTAGAACACATTAGTCAGCATGATTCAACATTCGTCACTAATCAGCACTAGTGATGGAACTAATCAGCATTCCCCAGTGTCCCCAAAGCTATCCTCAAATAGCAAAAGAAATTGGCCTCTGTCAAGAGACAATTGAATGTGGTTTTGTTGGTATTCAGAAGCTGAAGTCCCCGTTCAAGCCTCACATACTCTTAGGAGCTTTCCTCAGCCATCCTAGTTGGGACAACCCTTTTTCCTTCCATCCTTCCATATCCTTGAAACTTGAAATAGCTGTCACAGTTTGCTGATGATTAGATCTACATAATTACATCTTCCCGAACTAGACTGTGAGCTACATAAGGGAAGGGAACTTTTTTTTTCCCTCTCTCAATCTTGTATCCCCTGAGTCCTGAGCAGCATGTTCTGCAAACAATAGAAGCTCAACAAATACTTGCTGAACTGAATGAAGCTTAAATGATATTCCATAAGGAATACAAGTCCTTTTGGAAGAGATTTTCAGAGAAAATAAAAAAACTGAATTGATTTAACATCTTTTGGTATTATTACCTGGGAATTTTCACAAATGCAAATTGTTAGTTCTGCCTATGGCTTCTAGGTTCTAAAAGTGGAGTGTGGACCCAGGGTAAACTATGGTCCAAGTCTTGGAATGAAATTTTTCTCTATAACTTTATTTCAACTGCATTTTGTTTCATGTTAAAAAAAAAAAAGTAGAGGCAGGAAAAAACATTTTGGAAAAAAAAAATGTTTACTCTATAACTTTGGATCTCCTACCCTATTCTGTGCTATAAGCACTAGTAGCTCCCATTCAAGTTTCTGTCTCAAATGCTGCATAACAGCAAACACATACTAAAATTACTGCCTGAGGGAGATTCTGTTTAGGTAGGATAGGGTGGGTTGCCAAGATTCTGGGGCACTGGTCCTTGGTAGAAGAACAGAATGATAATGCTACTCCTCTTTTCCCTAGGCTCTGGAAACAAACAGGGCCCCAATAGCATTTTTAACACACTATATATATTTTTTTAATTTTTTTTAGTTTTTGATGGATCTTTATTATTATTTATTTATTTATATGTGGTGCTAACAATTAAATACAGTACCTACAAAGGAAACTACCAATTACAATACCAACACATGCTAGGCAAGCATTCTACCACTGAGCTACAATCCCAGCCCCTATGCACACTATTTATGTGGCATTTCAAGAGTATAACTCTATTATGCATCAAGCCCGGCCAAGGATCTGCACTATTGCAACGTGGGAATTAATCTCTGAAAGGTTTGTGTCACTAAATATTCATCTTCCTCTTTCTCTTGTGATAACAGAGCTCCCACAATGCACAATTTTTGTGGGTACATGGCCATTCAGATTAATAACTACATTTTCATCATTTCTTGCCATATACTCACAGATGGCCAATATGATATAGGTAGAAATAAAGTGTGTAACTTCTGGTTAGCTTCCTCAAAGAAAGGGGGATGCTTTCCCTCCCACCACCATCTCTGTCCCACACAAATCCTGCTACCTGAATGGAGCAATGATGCTGAGTCATATTGGGTCATGACAACAACAGTAATATCCTAGGTGTGATGGAGCTACAAGCCAACAGATTGTGTCCCTGGACGAACCTGGGGAGCCAAGCTGCCATACCAGCTCAGGACCACATTCCTCTGCGGTGCTCTATGAGAAGGGAGTAAGCCTCTCTTTTACACTACTGTTAGTTTAGGTAGTGGCTATGCCCAGCCAAACTTATAACCCAACTGCCCTCAGGGAATTTCTTGGAGGATCATTATATCAGTGTGACTGATACATTTTAGCTTAGATTTTCAAGATTCAACATTTAAGATGGGGCTAAACTACGTCAACAGAGGCCTATGAGGCCCGAGAGATAAGCAGCTAAGGGGTTGCCATGATGGAAGAGGAACAACCCAAAATCCTTTTGATTTTCTAAAATCTTAGGCCCAGGCTGAATACTTGAAAAGGAGTTAAAAAACCCAACTTTGAGGCAGTGAACTTAGCTTAACCTTCTTGGAACTGTTTCCTCAAGAAAATCAAGGTGATGGGTGAACTAAAAGCCCTTGTTTGAGGAAGTGTAGATACAGTTAGCTTTCGGAGAATGAGTAAATTTTTATCAGTGATCATCTAAGTACAGGTATAAAGCACACACACACACACACTGTGCAGAAAATCTCTCTGGAGCATATGGCAAGCTTACATTCCTAAGGCAAGAGACAAAAGAGGCATCCGTAAAGAACACATAAGAAGATCAGCCATGGAAATATGACAACACATCAATAATTATACATGGCTGCACAGAGATTGGTCCACTACCTCCACAGAGAGTCTAAATTGGTTAACTTATTTTGAAAAAAATTTGGGAATACATATAAAAGATGCCTTATCTATACCTAGAGAAACCCTCAAGCCTTGTTCTAAATAATCAAAATATCTATAAATAAGGGAGTAGATAATGGTGTGGATACCTGAAATAAATCAAAGGAATCTATGTGCATGAATGTGGACATACATAAAAACATTATGTTAAATGACAAAACAAAGTTATAAAATAATGTATATGATAAATCATTTATAGAAATTTTAAAATGCATTAAAAAACAAATCATTATATTATACATAGATTCACAGGTAGGTAGAAAAGTTTTAAGAATGAAAGAGAAGGATATATGCCAAATGGTGGAGAACTTTTCTTCTTTGGAGGAGAGTCGGGTGGGGAGGGCCTGGAGTAGTGATAGGTACAAAGGAGTTTTGAATTCTGTCAAATTTTTGTCCTAGAATTGAAAAAAAAAAATCTGAAACTACTAGGATAAAAATTTTAACAGTTGTTAATTCTGGGTGTTATATTCATATAAAATTCATGGTTTTTGATTTTCTGTACTATTCTGTATTAAAAATATTTTTCAGGCTGTGGTGTAGTTTAGTAGTAGAGGGCTTACATAGAATGAGCTAGGCCCTGAGTTTGAACCCCAGCACCTACTCACCCCCAAATCTACATTGATAACAGTCTCTCTCTGAGGCTGACAGCCAGAAGAAAAGATGTGAATAAGGCAGAAGGCCAGTGTGGGAGGTCCTGGAAGAAGGAGATGTGAAATAAATGCAGAGAGGAGAAGACCCTGGGTACATGGTGGTCCTTCCTCTTTCCCCTAGGAAGTCCCATAACAAAGAGGCCTGAATAAACTTTCTGAGGCTGCAGTGGCACCTGTCAGGACAAGGACAATGTGACAGGCTGGCTCTGCCTTCCTCTTCATGATTTCCAGGAGGAGTTTGTGCTCTCTGAGCCACTGAATCTCAGGGCTCTCTGCCCAAGCTCCAGGCTGTGCCAGGTGTGTGAGTGGTACTAGCCAGACTAAGAATCTTCTGGGTCATTTTGAGTCTACCAGGCAGACAATATTTAGATGAGCTACTGATTCAAATTGAAGTCTGATAAGCTCAAGTGGTAGTATTGGGGGGAAAAGAATTTTTCAATAAATCATCCAGTTGGCTCGGTAACTATGAAAAAGGAGTGGAAGAATTTAACCCAACTTTGTGACAAGGGAACAAATAGAGGAGATTAATGCCTTTCCTGATATGCTTCAAAAGGTGATCAAACAAACCCTTCTTGATTGTAAAAGCAGAAAGATGAAGCACTTAGCTTTCCATAAAAAAGACCATTGTTTCTTTATTTTTTCTTCCTTTCTTGGTTTCTTCTGAAAAAGTGACTAAGTGACTGAAGCTAGCTTGGTGTCCAGTACCTTCTCTGGACCTGTGTCAGGGTGCCCTGGTCTCCTCTGAAGTTCTCCAGTTATCCTAAAATTTATACTATTCATTCAAACCCAAACTAGTATAGGACAGTGTCGGAATCCAAATTCAACCAGTTGTATCTGATCCTGATTTTGTAAAAACTGTTTAAAAACATGTTTCTATCTCACTGAGAAATAGTTGCTACCTTCAGTCCTGCTCAAAACAACTTTGGCTTTCTTTATTTCCAACCACTCCCTAAATTCCCAAGGAAGAGAGAATAGGTAAAGGAGTGAACAATGTACCCTGCCAGTCCAGCCTCTCCATTCTTAGGGCCAGCCCTGCTTCAGAAGCTGCTTCACCTCATCCATGGGCCTCCCAAAACTGGGGGATGGTTCCAGAAGGGTCTGACCCTGGCTTCTTATATGCACCCTGCAGCATCAGCAACATAGCCTGGCTGCTTTCAATTAGAGTCTCTGCTGTGCTCTGAGTGGTACATTTGGTGCTTACTCTTACCAGAGCTGATGTGGGTAGTGGTGGAGTTCACTGAGAATTCTTCTTCCCTTCTGCACCCAAGTGCTTTGAGGCCCACCCCATTAAAGCTGGTGCCCAAAGTCAACCTCTGCTTTTCTCTTGCCACCAGATCCCAGCATCCTTCAGTCTCATTCCAGCCTAGGCCAGCTCCTCTAAACTTTTCCACTTGATGGGCACTGGACCTTCCATAGGGGACAAAAGGAAAACTGGATTCAGGGCTCCTCCTCCACCCCCACCTTTCCCACTCCAGTTGCACAAAGGGCTGAACTCTTCCTTTGCCCCAACCTGGCCTCTCTCAGAGCTGAACCATCAAGAAGCTGCTGGCTGCAGTCAGCTCCCTCTCCTTTGGAGCCCAAATATTTCCAGGGTCCAGGGCCAGGCCAGGAGAGGCCAGGATACCAGAAGAACCGTGGGCAGACAAAGAAGATGCAAACGGGATAGTATTACCATGTTAATGGCCTGAGTCTGAGGCCTCCTGAAGATGCAGGGAGGGTGGGTTTTCTTTCTCTTACTTTTTCTTTTTTTTTGCCAAAGGAGAATAGTTCCGCTTTCTATTTTACTTCAACAATAGCACAGACCGGCTCCTTCAAGTGTTTCAAAAAGCGCCTAAGAAATCTCTAACCAGCCCCTGGGTCTCTCTGGCCTGCCGCTTCATTGTCCCTCCCACCCCAGTGAACAAAGGGGTGGGAAGGGTGTCAGGCCCCCAGTTGCTGCCTGTTCTCACATCCTAATCCTTGGGAACGGGAGGGGAATGGCCTGCAGAGTTGCTTGATCCTATTCTGCTCTCACTTTTTACTTCTTCCACTGCTTGTGCAGAGCTTCAGGTATTAGCTAACCTCCTGGGCAGGGGCTGGAAGGAATCTTGGCCTTGCTAAGAGATAAAAGGCACTGAGGGACCATTCCCAAGTTCACTAGCAGCCCCCACCCCCAGGGTAGCCTGCATGGATTTTTCTTCTCACTGCTCCTGCTCACTCTATTATGGAGCCTGGTGTCAAGGCACAGACCTGTCTCACCCTCCCAGCCCTTCCCCTCTATCTCTGTGCCCCTCTGAAATGGACTGCAGACCCCACTCAGAGCTCCAGGTGCTACCACGCCAGAGCAACCTTGCACACCAGGAAAGCTTTCAGCCTTGACTTGTGGGTACCTTTCCAAATTTACCACCCAGGGAGAAAAGGGTTTCTTTGCTTTAAGCCTGGGGAATTGTGCAGGTGTCTTTTTTAGCTCAGTCATCTGGTAAGAAAGGGGAAAATAAGCCTTTATGTTCCAGTGTATGAAGATCTCAAGAGAACAACTAAAGGTATCAGGCTAAATGAATGATAAGTATATCACCCCCCAGGAGGATCAGATAAAGCTGAAGTGAAAAGTGAAAAGAAAGCAAGGAACGGGGGAACAGGAGAGTGAGAAATGAAAGACGGAGACCAGGCAAAGATACACATGAGAGTTTTATTTGTCAGAGCTGACAAATAAAGGCACATCTCTCCATTGATGGAGAGAGGCAAAACAGGCTTGGGGTTTGGGACTTTTATGGGGCAGGCTCAGAGATTAGAGCCCCATGGGTCCTAATGGGGGCGGTTAAGGGTGGGGTTGGTAGGAGGGAGTGGTGAGCCTTTCTCAGAAATGCCCTTGGGCGGAAAGTGAAATTTTTCTTAAAATGGCTGCCACTTAAGATGGCCATTCAGATGCTAAGCAAGGACCTTACAAGAAGGCCTTTAGAGATTACCAGGGCTGGTTACTGCATTCAAAGTTAAAAAAAAAAAAAAGGAAAAGAAAAAAAAAAGTGTCACCCTGCAATTCCTACATATGAATTCATGACATGCACAAGTGCACACACAAGCACACACGTAATAGATATTTCATTAAACAATACAATATATGTGATATAATCTGATATTTTCTATTCTCTCTTCTTTTTTCCTAAATGCTGATCTTGATTCATCAATTTCATATCATGACCCACTAATTGGTTACAGCAAAGTTTGCAAAGCCTTGAATCAACATTTTCATTTTCAAGAGGACAAAATTAGGGCTCAGAGATTTTCTCAAGATTATATCAGAGCTGAAATGAACCCCAAGAGTTCTTTACAATCAAAGAGGGACCCTCATTTTTCTGAGAGCACCCTTTTCCCCCTTAAAGTCTTTGGAGCACAGAGCCAAGAGGGCAGGGAGTGCAGGAAGTGTATTCAGTGGCACTGCCGACAGAAGCAGAAGGGCTCTACCGCCTCCAAGATCTCTGGGAGGGAAGCACAGCTGAGAGTTGGACTGGAGAAAACCCTTAGCAAGCAGCCAGGTGGAAGTTCTGAGGCCGCCCAGGCATTTTATATATTGGTTGGGGATCTTATATTATAAGCCATCTCTCTGAATTTCTTCTTTCCTGGACACACTGATCTAGGTCAGTTTCCTTTAGTAATCCATTTTCTCCCATTTTCCAGTTTTTTCTAACAGTCATTCCTTGTGGTTCTTTGACCTTTACCAGTTCATTATATCTCTAGTTTCTCTTTTCTCTAACCAGTTTTCTTTTCCCTGTCAAAATCACGGTCTTAACAATGAGGATCAGGGAAGCAATCCAGTAGATCTTAGTTCCACAAATGTCCCTGATGTTATCCACATTACACCAAACTTAGGAATGTCATTTATCAAGGTATAAACATCACAGCAAGATTTTACTACAAGTCCTTAGGGCAGAACTGATTCTTTACATCCTGGATTTGTCTTATAATCTTCCATAGGATTTCTTGAAATGTCCCTCTATATTTGCTATTTACTAGACTTCTTATCTTTTAAAACAGCCTCTAAAAATGAAGAGCTCAAAGCTACACTGTGCACTGGGTAAATAAAAACCGAGCTTTCTGATTGCTTATTAGTTATACACCCTTAGAGAGTATGTAACAAAGGGGCCTGCTGTTTGCTTTGCTTAATCTGGTCTTAAAATCTCTGCTTCTTTGTCAGAAAACAATATTTGCAATTGTAAAAAAAAAAATATTTACCAAGGAACTTGGATAGCATAAGTCAAAGGCTAAGAGCTAAAGGTCAGTAGTTCTTATCCCAAATTTTTGTGAACCTGAGGGTCCCTGCTGTGAAGCTCAATTGCATCAAACAAACATGCAGCTTTTGAGTCCATTAAGAAGCAGACATTTTAAAAGGGGAAGGAAAGGGAGGGCTGCAGTCTATTCCTCAGTCAGAAGGGTGAACTCCCCAGCCTGCCCCACAGAATTCCTGCTAGATATTTGTAAAGCAATGTGTCTCCATGGGAATATTACTGGGACTACCCTCTTTCCAAAATTGTGGAAAAACCTCAACTTACAAAATCTTACCAGGCAGACATTCCTTCCATGAATAGCCTTGGCAATAAGCTTCTCAGGCCTGAGGTTCACCTATGTATCTCTGTGGGTGGACCTCCTGCTTAATAGTGGGGGACAGAGGAATATTGTGGGCATTTCTTTATTCGCAAAGGAGTTTTAGACATCTGACCCTTCTAAGAGACTGATTTTTCTAAGTTTAATGGTGTTTGAATTTATGCCTTTATGTTAATTATTCTATTCTCTGGAAAGATTTGCCATTGGGTGCCTTTCCTAACCTCCAGAGTATCTGGCATCTGCAGAACAGTTCTGGCATCTGAATTACAGCTTGTGGCCTGGGAGTGTTCCACTTTGAGCAAGAATTTGAGTTCTTCCAAGTCCCAAGCCTATCTTATAAGGTGTAGGTAGGCAAGGCCTGGTCTCTAGCAGAAGGGCCTGCTGGGACTCAAACACCAGAAAGGGAAACATAGTAACCATAAGGAGGCAGGAAATGGAGCTCATGGAGTCGGGACATAGGCTGCCAGTCCAGATGCTGCCACAGCCTGTGAAGTGAGAGGGCTCCTCCACACCATCCAGTTCACACCATAGGATCTCTGTAGAAGACTGATGGTGGCAATTCCTAGATTTCTTGCTTTCACTTTTTGGTTCTCCCAATCTGTTATTAACAATATAGTCCTCCCTCATCCACACCTCAACCTTTTGTCAAATTCTTGCCACAACTGCCAATCTCTTGATCTTGTCAGGGAAATATCACTGGCCAATTCACGTTGGCCTTTGATTCTGTCCTAAAATAGATTCTTTTGGACCACAGCAATATTACCTCACTATTAGAGGTAATATCAGCATAGTCAGCTTGAAGAAATGGCTTAACCTAAGGATCTTACCTTGAAGAACCAGGCCTTCCTCCTTGATGGTGTAAATAAATGAGGTGAAGGGAGCCAGAGGGGATTTGGCAATGAGAATCTGCAAATAAATCACATTTTTCCAGAGTCAGACAAAGAATCAGGTATGAGTCTCTATTTACTACTCTTCTAACTTTGACATAGAGTGGTATCACATGACTATAAGTCATAAGGTTTATTATTTTCAAAAAATTTTTTAGAACCAAATGTTCAAATGAATGATATCCTTTCAAAATGATCACTTTAGAAGGATATGGTGTTTATCCAAATATTCTGTCACCAAGTGCCATATTCTTGAACCAATTCTTGCAGAAATAAGACACATTATTTTTTATGTCACAGCTACTTTTCTGCTCAAAGATAAACCTAGCTCCATTCTTTAATTTTATGAATAAACAGTTAGTTAAAAAAATTCAGTGATCCTTAAAATATTTACCATTACTGCAACTATTCAAATTAACTTGCCAAAGACAAAGCAATGGTAAATTGCTTTCTTGGACCCAATCCCTCACCTTGTCTGTATTTACACCCTTTATCTTGTGACTATATTTTCTCTTAAGGTGTAGCACATTTTCCATGCCCTTGACTGTGGGGTTGTCCACATGACTTGTTTTGGCTAGTTGTTTTGTGCCAGTTCCCAGATTTGCCTCAAGAAGTCTCAAGTATTTCCATTTGTTCTCTTATGCTTCTGCCAATGCCAGGAAAAAAAAATGTCCAAGCTAGGCTGCTATCTCAGAAGGGTAAGAGACGCCTGAAAAGAGCTGGTCAGCCAGGACCATCTAAACAGCTGAACTCGGGGGGCCTATACACATATAAGTTAAATACTGCTATATACCTCTCAACTTCTGGTGGTGGTATCATGAAGCATTATTGTAGCAAGAGGTGACTGATAACACCAGCCAGAACAAAATACCAAAAGCACTTTTGGCAATGGCATTCTTCTACAACAAATACCTATTTAAAAGGAGATGATCATTCGGTTATTTAAAAAATCAGTATCTTTGTTGGACGTGGTAGCACACGCCTGTAATCCCAGTGGCTCGAGAGGCTGAGACAGGGAGGACCACGAATTCAAAGCCAGCCTCAGCAATTTAGTGAGCCCCTAAGCAACTCAGTGTGACCCCGTCTCTAAATAAAATACAAATAGGGCTGGGGATGTGGCTCAGCGTTTGAAAGCCCCTGAGTTCAATCCCTGGTACCCACCCCACCCCCCAAAAAAATCAGTATCATTAACTCATTGTCACACTTCATGAAGCTCTACAGAAACTCTAAGGATTGGTAGATTTTTATGATATTTTATTGAAGAAATATGAATATCAGTTTCCTGTTTTTCAAATCAAAATAATATCATCAAAAATAGTGACAAGGGACTGGGGCTATAGCTCAGTGCTTGCCTAGCATAGTTGAGGCACTGGGTTTGATCTCAGAACCACACAAAAAATAAAAAAATAAAATAGTTATAAAAAATATATGTTAAAAAATAGTGATAAGCCAGGTGCAATGTTGCATGTCTGTATATGTGCATAGGCCCTTGGTCAATGCCTAGTGCTGAGGAAAAAAAAAAAGTTACATTGGGTCACGGAACCACTTAGGTAATCAGGAAAGCAAGGAAGAAGGAAGAAATAATTGCAAACAACCAAAAGGCTTACACATATTTCAATTCAACAAACATTTTTTATCTGTCAATTATGAGAAGTGGTAGAATAACGGGGTAAGGAGATCACAGGTTTTAGTCATGGGGTTTGAATCTAGCTCTTCTACTAGTTGGCTAATCCTCAGCAGAGCCTGCACATATTCCCTATTAGCCACTCCCCTTCTTCTTTTTAGTAAATAACTGCCCAAGTTCCCACATTTCTCTGCCTCTTTTGCAACAAGGTGTGTGGCCATGTGATTAACAGACTATGAGTACAAATGCCAGGTAGAACTTCCAGATTCTGTTTTCATAAGAAAATTGCATGCCCTTCATTTTCTCTTTTCCCCTTCCCAAGGGTAGGAACCAGTTCCAACCACATAGACAGGACAACTTCCTGGTCATTATGAAGCAACATGGGAGGAGAAAGCTTGGTGACTTCAGATAGCATCAATACCTTCTAGCTGGGTCACTTGTCCCCTCAGGACAGAGCTACTTGTTTCAATCACTGTATTTCAGCTGTCTTTGTGATATAGTATAGACTGAACTCTAACCAATACTGTGATGCTGGACAACTTAAACTTTTTGAATCTCAGTTTCCACATTTGTCAAATGGGGATAAAAGCATTAAATGAGATTATCATGAAGATTAAATTAAGTATATAAAATACTTGTCAAACACTAGTAAATGCATAATAAACAACAGGAGCATTTCCAAGCTCACCAAAACCCCAAATACTTTGCTTTTCAATAAGGAAGTCTCTAGTTGAATCTCAATAATTTTTAGTAGCTGCTCTAAAATTATTCACAAACTTGCAAACCATTTTCATAACCAATGAGTATAGGTAGGCAATTACACTTTCATGTTAAAAACATGACATCTAAAAATTAAGATGGATCATTTTCTGACTGAGGTTGAGGTTCACATGAAGTTTAAGGAAGCCCTTTCACAGGGGAACGGCATGGCAGAAGAAAGGATAGTGCTTTTCAAACTTCAATATGGGTGTGAATCACCAGCAGGTCCTGCTGACCTGCAGATTCTGATTCAGTAGATTTTGAACAGGACCTGAGAGTCTGCACTTCCAACAAGATCCCAAGAGATGCTGATGCTGTGGTCCCAAGATCACATTATAAGTAGCCTGATTGAAGAATCTAAGGAAAAACAAGAGATGGGAGGTATAGAGCCAATTAGAAAGATACTACAGTAATTCAGTGATGAGAATAAATTATGAGATGTGGCCTAAACCACAATTGTGTCAGAAAGAATGGGGAAAAGGAACAAGATCAAATAGGAATGAAAGAAGCTAAACATACCCCAAATCTCAGATTGCTATTGTCTAAATGTAGCAACCAAACATGAAACCAAAAGGGTATAAATAAATAGCAATCAATAATGTGACATTCCAATGCTTGATGAAATAATAGCCCCTGCACCTAAGCCTTCCAACTCTTTGGTGCCACCTCTGGTAGTCTAATGCCTATCCTAAGAACAAGTCCTAAGTCCCAGCCAAGGGAATCTCACACCTGTGAGGACCCTTCTGCAGGCAATCAATGGGTTTGAACAGGTCACTGATTAATGCTCCATTCTTTTTGGGAGCAGTACTTAAAATAAGTCATCAAAAGGATGATTTGTGTGCAGTCAGAAAGAGGAAGTGATAAATAATGTCAGATGAATCCCACTTCCTTTTTTTGGGACAGAACTTCTAGATCAGAGGGCTGTCATCAACATAAAATATCTGATTTGGGGGGAAAAAAGTGACAAACTCTTTTGACAGCCTGGTAGATAAAGTAAAGACAAGTTGCACTGAATACTAAGACCATTAGAGTGAATTTGTAAGTGGCTCAAAGCTCAGTAGCAACCTGTGAGGGGATCAACCTTTGATGTGATGCACTGGTTTCTAGCCTTGGTCCTGTTCCATTCAACATTTTTAACTGACCTGAATGAGGATGCTGACATATTCAACTGCATCCATACAACAAATGTGGAATCCAGCAGGGACTAGAACTGACAAAAAAATGTTGCACTAATAGAGCTTACAAGCTAAAGGAGGAAAAAGGCAATAAAGTAAATATGGTATCTTAAGGTGATTATATGTGCTATGGGGAACAAGGGCAGTAAAAGAGTATAGTAAAGAGTATATGTAGTATATCAGAGGAGGGTGTCATTTTTAAATAGAGTAGTTTGAAAAGACTTCTTTGACTTTTGGATCATGTAACTAACCTTATTGATGGGATGTTTTAATAATAGGAAGGTAATAGAAGACAAGAAAGTCAGAGGAGGAATTCATATATTAGATCATACAATCATGATATCCTAATGAATCTCAATTTGGTAAAAATGTTAGGACAAATCCTACATGTGTTTTAGAATGCTGAAATCCTTGAGAACAGAGCACAAACTTTGGCTATAGAATGGAGGAGATAAAATAAAGCATTCAGAAAATGGCTTAGAAATGTTGGTTAATAGTAATTCAACATGAGTCAGGAGTAAGATGTGATTCTCAAAGATATAGTGTGGTCTTGGGTTATTGCAATGGAAGTATAGTATCTGGAACAAGGGCTGTGATAGTTCTGCTGTCCTCTTGACTCAGCAAACCATACATTACACAGTGTGTATAGATTGGGGCCCAGAGTCCAAAAGCAAAGCTGAAAAATGGGAGAGCCAACAAGGTGAAGATGGGGCTGGAGTTGTAGCTCAGTGGTAGAGCACTTGCCTCGCAAGTGAGAGGCACTGGGTTCGATCCTAGCACCAAATAAAAACAAATAAAGGCATTGACTCCATATACAACCAAAAAAAAATTTATAAAACAAAAACAAAAAACCAGGAGAAGATGCCAAAGCAATCAATAATTAACATACTGCAATGCAAACATGATTGTCAGAGCACTGGGTGAAGGTGTTTAATATGAGTTTTCTGGTCTAGAGTTTGATAGTGTTACCTACTTGAGAGGAGATGGATCAATAAGTTTTCAGTTCAGTTGGTTTTGGAGGGGAAATGTAAGTTAGCTTTTCACTTAGTAGATTTCAGGGTCGGGGAGGGAGTGATGCTTGCCATGTATCTTTGTGAATACACACAGATTCTTCTTTTTAAAGATCTGAATCAATGTCCAGTGCCCATGTGCTTTTCTGTCATTCAAACTATAAACTATCTTCTCTAAAGTAAACAACTACCCCAGCAGAAAATTTAGGCTATTCTGTTTCACGTGTTCAGCCATTCCATAAATCTGGGTTGTTCTAATATCTGACCTGGGCTGCTATCATGTGTCAATCTATCTTCTTCCAATATATAATGTCCTGCAGGGAGGCCTAGAGGCCTAAAAAATCCCTCCAAGTCCCTAGTGAAAATTCTGATCCCACTCAATCCTGTGTGCATTGTGTGGAGCTGACTCTGGAATTCTCTAAGTGTTCAAAGAAATATGTACTTGAATAAG